TCTATAACTATAAATTTGTCAGATTGTGTGTGTAAGGATGTTATCATACAAAAAGTGAAATGTTATAGACAATCTGGATATGATCCATGAAAATTGCTACTAAATGAGATTGCAGAGAATCTTGAATACAGTACAGAATTTCCTGCCGAAACTGAAGTTAGAGCCAGAACGAAAAAGCATCAATTTGACTATGAAGAAGCTGTCGATGAACCCTTAACAGAAGAGAGTAAATTTAAAATAAACTTTTTCAATTATATTCTGGACATTACCCTTAATTCTCTGAATGAACGATTCGTACTTCTGGAAACCTGTAGCAAAAATTTTCAGTTTTTATATGACATTTTAAAACTCAAGGATTTAGATGAAAAAATGCTAGAAAATTATTGTACCAGTCTCCAGTTGATACTTTTGGTTGAAAATGAATCATATATAAATGGAAATGATCTTCAAGAAGAATTGCGTGATATATCCCAAATGCTAGCATATTCTATGAAACCTTTGGATGTTTTAAATAATTTGTGCCAAAATAACTTAATTACTTTGTATCTGAATACTGTTGTAGCTCTGAGAATTTTATTAACACTCCCTGTCTCTGTAGCTAGTGAGGAAAGAAGTTTTTCCTAATTAAAATTAATAAAACACTACTTAAGAAGTTTAATACGCCAAACAAAACTTAGAAATCTATCATTTATTTCTATTGAATCTACTAGTACATTAGCTGCAACTCTAAACTACACATCCCTAATTAACGAATTTGCTACAGTTAAAGTTAGAAGAGTAAAACTGTAATAGATTGCTGTAGTTGATAGTTGATATCAATATTTTATAGTAGTTTATATTTTCAAAATAAAAATAATATTTGTACGTTTTGTGCAGGTTTTTTTAAAATTACAATCGAAGGTTATTTTAAAGAAAAAAGATTTAAGGGTGGCATTTTGAAGACTTGCATCATAATGAGAAAATCTACCGCACGGCCCTGAACAGAATCACCCCATTTCACAGTTTTCCTGGATGTTTCGCCTTAATTGCATGTTGTAATCTCTCCAGCGTTTTGCAGTACCCTGCCCCAGTGATGGAGACACTTAGTTCCTTGAAATCAATAAGCAATGGGCCCTGGTGATTGAATAACAGGGTAAGCATCACTTTTTCAACAGATGACTGGCTCTTGAACTTGTTGGGATGAGGGGATGAAGGATGACACCACTGCATGGTCGCCGCTTTCGACTCAGGTTTCCAGTGGTAGCACCAGCTTTCATCACTAGCAACAATGTGCTCAAGGAACATGTTGCCTTCAACATTGAAATGCATCAGGTGCCACGTCTTTAAACAGAAACTTTTTGATCGCCCCTTATAATAACTGGTAAATATTTACCAGTCGGCTGATTCAGTATTAGACTATTACTTTTTAAAATCTTATTTTATATCTTTAATGCTTTCAGTTATTCAAATTGGAACGCAGTTCAGAACAAATTGCACATATTCTTTTAAAAAATATTCTCAATCTGACTTTTAATAGCTTTCAAAAACGGTTTTTATCAAGAACATGTTAAATCCTCACTCATTTAATACTTTCTAAAAATAGATGTAAAGTTTTTATTGTGAATTCATTAATCACAAAAGTTTACACAAAACTTTCTAAAATCACACATAAAAGATACTAGTTTGAATTCATAGGAAGCATATCTATGAAGTTAAGAGTTTTGAAAAATTTTAAGAAATAACAAACTGAAGATGAAGCAGAGACTGAACATGTTAACCAGTTATTAATTGTTCTCTACCAAGTTAATTAGAAGTAAGGTTTTAAATACTTTTATAATATTTTAAAATAAAAACATTATTTTTATATATATTTCCTTAAGGAAATAAATAAAAAATGCTAAAATACGTCTAAAAGAGATAAGACATTACTTATTGGACTGGAATGATTTAGTAACTACTTCAGTCAAAAGGCTTAAATTGTTTTTCAGTAAGGGTTAATTTGAAAAAGTTTTTTTGACTAACATTTTTTTATCTGCAGTTGGAGATCTTCAGGTCTTGATTTTATATTCATTGATGGAATGCTTAAATCAAAGAATGATGTTTTGAAAAATTTAAACGAAAGAGATTCTCAGGATATATAAATAGAAATAAAAGTAAATAAATATAAAATTAACAAAATATACAATTAAAATAAACATTTAAAGACTAAGTTTTTTGTCTTTATGCAATGGCCTTTTTTTTCCAGATTTAAATATTTCTAATGTTTCTAGTATCTTGATGGAGTCAGCATGTTTTGATATTTTGATGGTAGCCTTGTCGAGGAAGGCTTGCATCTCATTATCTGTTGCGTACATGGCTATGGCAGTTCTGTAGTACACTTCTTGTCTAGTCTTGTATTCAATTTATGAGCTCTATGACGGCTTTCCTTTTTTGCTAGACTTATACATCATCATTTAGAAACAGGACAAGCTTTAGAAAATCACATTTTATTTCCTAGAGAATGCATAAGGAGATAATAGGATTTCACCTGAAAGTTAATTTTGTTTTTTTTTTTTATGTTCTCTATTTCTTTATATAGTGGTAGCACATTATGGTTATATTCTAGAATGATATGGCTTGTGTTTCTATGTTGATTATATCCATTTTCATCTTTAGGGTCCAAGTTGTGTGTTGTTGGAAATTGTACTGGCTAAATTCCTGATTAGATTTTTGGGGTAACTGTGCATTGTGGCTATTTGCTCAAGGTGTTCAAGTTTTTTTATTGTGCCAGAATAATTTGTACAAAAATTTGTTGAATTAATCCTTACTGGAAAACAACTTAAGGCTTTTGATTGAAGTATTTACTTTACATCTCAACAGTTGTAAAGTCACTGGGAATGGGAAAACAGAATGGGAAGAATTCATAAACTGCTCTTAATGAAAATATTGTATTTTCAATTTTTAGCTATAGAACAAAATTGTTCAAAAATAGAACATAAAACAAGCTATAGAACAAAATTTTATCATTGTTAGTTTTTATTTTAAATAAAATAAATTTTATTTCAAAATTAATTTAATTTTTATTGAATTGCAAATAAAGACTCAGATTATAGTTTGTGTCATGACTGGTTCTTATGGATAAATTTTAAATCATAAAAAAATTATATTTTACACAGAATAATATGAAATTCTGTACAGAAAATTAATTGAATCAGAAGGAAAATAAAGTAGAAAAGTCTAATAAACTTTTTAAAAGTAAATTCAGCAGTAAAATGAAAAATACTTTTATCTTTATAAATTTTATGTAGCAAAAATTTTATAAAAGGAATTAACTTAAAATTAATGTGATATAATCAGCAAGTAAAATAATTTTTCAAAAAATTCAGAAATTAAATGTATAGAAAATATTTCAGATGTAGTTGCAACATACATATCCTATTAACTTGAGTACAATTTGCAATTGAAAATGTCTGGAATACTTTTACATATTAGAGCATTTTTTCTATATTAACTAATGCTAAAGTGTAAATGGAATTATTTTGAACATTTACTTTAAAATTATCAATAAAATTACACTTGTTATTTTTATTTTTACTTTACTTTTTAAGTTTGACTATCTAATTTCTTTATAGCGTTTTCTATTGGGTTGTTCGGAAAGTAAGTTTGTTTTTTTTCCGTGGAAAAAACACAATATTTTCATAATAAATAAATATTTTATTGAATTATATATCAACCATTTTGGTCAAATACCCGTTGTCATCGTTTCTGGTAGTAGCATGATTTCACATTCATAAAAGTTTTGATCGTTGCTTACAAAAAACTGGTCCAAGTGATTATTGACATTGTCATTTCAAGTAAATGTCTTACAGTTAAAAAAATTTGTATAGACCGGAACAAGTAATAATCTGAGGGTGCTCGATCTGGTGAATATGGTTGGTGTGATAGCATGTCCCATCTAAGTTATAACGGTTTCTGACGAGTTACCAAACTTGTGTGAAATTTAACATTATCATGGTAAAACACTACACCTGTTTTGTTATCAATTCTGGCCGCCTTTTCTGTTTGATAATATTATTCAGTTTGTTTACTCAATGTCGGTACACTTTCGAATCAATTGTTAAATTGTCTGGTAAAAGCTCCAAAAAAAATTTGCTTAAAATCCGACCAAAAGAGCATCTCTCTTTAAGAGTATGTGGAACCCATATATCGAGCTTTGAAACAAAACCAATTTGTTTCAAGTAATCATAAACAGTTTAATTTGACAAATTTCATCTCTTAGTGATTTCACGTGTTATTATTTGGCAGTTTGCTTCAATCAGTACCTTTATTTTGTTTTCATTGGCTTTAACTGGCCATCCAGAACGTGGTGCATCTTCAATATTGAAATTGCCAGAACGAAATTTTGTAAACCAGTTTTGGCACTGTTATTCTGTCAATACATCTTCTCCATACATGTTATACAATTTTTTCTTGCTTGAACAGCATTCTTACCTTTCCGGTAATAAAAGACCAAAATATGCCGAAAATGCTGCTTTCGATCTTCCATATTTGATGGGACACAAAAAATAAACAATTGCACAAAATCAAACAAAATTTTTTACAAATAAGCCTTAAAATGCTAGCTGTCAAAATATATAATGACAATACAGTTTAGAATGAAAATGATGGAAAAAATATGACTAATCCATCTAGTGGTAAAAAAAACAAACTTACTTTCCGAACAACCTAATACAAACCAGTATAATTTTCAATTTTAAGTTAATTATTAAAAATCAAAAAGTTTACCTGTAATTAAAAAATTTTAAAGTAACACAATAAATCAAAAAATCTATTTTTCAAGATGTAATAATGTTTACAGAATTTTATTCAGTTTAGACCAAAATAATGTTATCATATTTTTGTTTATTTTTGCTAAAGATGAAAGATTTTTAAAAAGTAAATTTATGATTATTAATTAGTAGTTATGTTGTTAAAAAATCAGTTATTTTATTAATTATCAATTTATATATATAAAATTTAAAAATTTGTTTGTCTGTTTTTAGCAAAGAGATAAACTTAAAACTTTTAAAACAAGTTTTCCAATAATTACAAAATTGTTATCAAAATTCAAATTCAAGAATTGTATAAATGCAAGTGATAATCAGAAAAATAAAAATGTTCAAAATTTGCCAAATGATTTACCTGATGATAATACCACAATAGATGAAGAAAGATTTTGTGTAGTTCCAGATATTATAATAAGTACAGAAAAATCATTGAATACATCACACAACCAGCAAAATAAAGAGAAATTTAGTGCTCTTCTAAGACAGCATAGGAAGAAACAACACTTTCAGTTTATTGAAGAAATAGAAAATGATGAAGTTATTTCAAACATTTCAACAAATCTTCCTGGTACCTGTAATCCTGAAGAAGTTACTCCAGTTAATCCTGTAAAGGTATTGTAATTTAATTATTTGAAATATCTCTTTACAAAGGTTTGAATAAAAATTAATTCATTTATGAAACCTACATTTAATTCAAATAAAATTCAATTATTTTTCCAACAGAATTTTATTTGAATGAATATGTGAAAATTTTAAAGTAAATTTCAAAAATATAATTAATTCACAGTTGCCATGCAAAGATAACAAACACTCAAATAACCTTGAAAAACCAGCAAAAATGTTTATAACTAAAACGTTTTTAGATGTTTTTAACAATCTTTTTCATGTAGAATATGTAATGGAATGCCACAACAGTGATTTGGATGATAATATTCCAGAATACAAATTCAAATTTAATCATCTTCACAGTAACATATTGTAATAAGTTTGAAACAAATGTAAGTTTGAAAATATTCAAAAAATTCAAAAATGTTTGCACATAAATAAAATAAAATAAAGGAATACATGAAAATTAAATCGATAAATACAAAATAAAACATCAAAATTAATTAAATATAAAATTTATTTTTATTTATTGTACAGTTAAGGAAATGTATGTGGACAGTTGATTTTCACCCCTTTCAACAATTATACCTACATTAAAAAACATAAAAATATTTCAACAATAATTATGATAAAATAAAAAAAAATTAAAATGAAATATGTAGAATGTAATAAAAAATAATAATAATTTATATATATATATATATATGTTACTGTGAAAGACCAAAGTTAAAGAATGTCGACACATACAAAATACGTTAATGAAAGACTGAATATTTGGTTATATTATTATACATTCAAACAATCGCCAGTGTATGTCGACAAGCACAGATAAGCTTTGGTGGAGATCGAAACGACACCTGAGAAGCCAATGTCAACAGAGAGGTGACAGTCTGTCGCCAAATTCTTCACTGTTTCCTTCTGCTCAAATTGGTGAAACCATAGGAATACAAGTTCCTAATGTCCACCACAGCCGTACAGACGCCCAAAATGTGTTGGCGGTTGTTGTTGGAATAGAAGACTCTGACTTTTGTAAATTAGCAAATAAAAAGGGTACCCTCAAGCAGCTTTATACCCACAATCAGTTCATAATTGGTAAAGAAAAGTTACTTTCCATAGATGAAATTTCTTCTCAAGAAATATTGCTTAGAGAAGCAGCTGCAGGTAGCTCGAAAAGTGGGGGATAAGGCTATACATGCTGTCATTGCAAAAAGAAGTGATTAACGAATAAATGCAGTTGTAAAAGCAAGGGATTCTGTGAAATTCAAAGTGTCATAGTTTAAGTTGTTGCAATAAATAAGATTGTTTAATGTTAATCACATAATTTATGTGTAAATTTACTATTGCATATTATTTTTTTATTCTGATTAAGAATATACTGTTTGTTTTAGGTTCAACAGTTTATTTACATGTGCTGTTACTTAAGCTTTCTTCTATTTTGACATATTAAAAAGTTGCATTTTTGTCTTGTTGAATAAAAATATTTTTATTACATTATTCACCATCAGTGCATGCTGAATGTTGACATTTGCTGGTGTAAGTGAGAAATAATGATATTTAGCAAACATTTCGTACATATGTTACCGCTAAAGCTCGAAATCCGTTAATGTGTACATTACCTAGCTAATCTGCAGATTAACTAGGGTGATCCGTTAAAGCTGCGAAAATTATTCCATTTCTCAAATTACCTAGGTAATCTGCAGATTATCTAGGTAATCTGTGAATTACCTACTAAGCACTCGGTAAAGTGAAAATAAGATCTTTGGTGGAACAACAGCAACATTTCTTTCTGTACGCTTAAATTAACATAATGTTCTTTATTTAATTTTCAATATCTAAAGAATCAAGTTAATACAATCAACAAATTAGTTGATTGAATCAATCATCAATCAATTAAAAAAACTTTAATACAAAAATCAAACGGTTTAAAATATTA